TTTAACATATCTTAAACTTACCATGCAAATATATCAGTCATTTCATGTGCTGACAATGCTGTAATACCTTGTGTTATCTGTACAGTATTTATAGAGGAATTTTTTCTAAGATCAAATATTCTAATATCTCCCGAAGATGATCCAGTGAACAATTGTGGTGTAGATCTTTCACATTTTCTTAAAGATGTATCTAACACCCAAGCTGTATGCTCTCTCCAAATCATAACTCTTGATTCTAATGGAGGTAATCTTCTATCGAATAAACGAACTGAACCATCTCCACATCCTACTACCATCATTGCACCTATATCAAAAAAATGTTTTATCATATTTTATATTTGAATATTAATAAGAAACACAATATAAAAAGTTAAGTATTGTTAAAATCTTTTAGTCTACTTTTTATTTTTTATTCTTTTGTTAATTATAAATCAGTATTTTAATTACAATTTATTTCATTAACTATTATTATTTAATGAAAAAAAGAATTTATGTATATCTATTTAATTATGTATATCTATTATGCATTTTATATATTTTATATATTTATACATTATAATAATAATCATTTATGTATCATTTATATATTGGTTTGTTAAATAAATTTATAAATAATTATAATTTTTTTAAAAAAAACATGATTAAATTAATATAGTAAAATAGTAAAGTAGTAATAAAATAATAAAATAGTAATAGAATATTTAGAGAACTAACCTACACCATCAACATCAATACATGTAGCACAGCAATCAGCACCTGTTGGTATATCTTGTTTCTTTAATTCAGTTTCTGCATCCCAAAGTCTAACAATGCGAACATCGCCCGTCACAGCTAATGTAAGCGATTTTTGCTCCCATTTAGTGACTAATCCAGCTGTTGCTATAAACAATTTTAATTATATAATTAAATTATATATTATATCATATAATTATGTAATTATATATTTATATTTCGGAATATATACATATATATAACTATATATACCAGTGGTTGTTTTTGCTGCAGGTTGTATATCAGCCATTGCTTGCCAAGCAGTAAGTAAAACTGGATCGCGATTTAGCATACTACTATAATTTTTCCATATTCTAACTGAACCATCATCAGAACCAGCCATTAATAAAGTCACATCATGAGCATTAATAAACTCTAGTGCTGTAATACGTGACATTTTATTACCATGACTTGCACAATAAGTCAATTTTGCACCAGTTTGATAATCCCATACTCTATAAATAAATAATTCTATTAAACAAAATTATTTAATATAACAATAATAAAATTTGACATTAAATTTGATATTAAAATTTAAATACCCAAAGAAATCTTTCAATGCTACAGCCAAATGAGGTTCGAAAGGATGAAATATTAAAACTTCTGGAGAATGTGAACATCTTGTATGAAATATTTGAAATTCTACTCTACTTTGTATTGCACGTAACTGTTCTTCTCTTGCTTCACGTTTTTGTCTTTTATTTCTTAAGTACCTGAACATTGAAGATAGCAAATTAATTTATTCTTTTATAAATAACAACATTTTTGGATACATTCAAATTATATTTTAAAATTTTACCGCCATTCTCTTTCATAATGAACTCTACTTTCCATATCATTCATCGATTCAATTTCAGTTTCTAAACTAACTGGCTGGGCAAATTGAGCACAACTCCATTCAACGAATTGTGAAGTTGTTAATGCTGTTTTTATTCCAACAACTTCATCTGCTTCTTCTGATATCTATAATAGAATAGTAATAATATATTAAATGATAATATGAATAAAATATAACATTATTCATATATAAATGATTCTATTAAATAATTCTTACTGTATTAGGAATTGGTTTTCTTGAACGATTACTATGTGATGGTATTCTTGATGAACGTAATAGATCAGTTCCAGAATTTACAGTAGGCGGTGAGTCTCCTTTGCTATTACTTATAATATATAAATTAATTATAAATATTAATTAAAAATAAATAGATAGAAATCATACATAAAATATTAAACTAACCTTAAATATGTAGTACGATTTGATGGAGAAGGTGGAAGAGATAGTGATGAAGATATTTTTGTTTCAATTACTTCCTTAGGTACAGAAGATTCTTTGACCTATAGTAAAAAAATATTCTATAATATATATTAATTTTTAAAAAAATTTTATATCACATTTTATTTCATATTATATTATATTATTTTTGTATCATAATGAATATCATTATTTTATATATGTATATTGATATATGTATTATTTATATTATTTTTTATTGTATTATTTATTGCACGCTATATATATTTGTATATATTTTGTAAATATGTACATGTAATGTATGTAATATAATAAATATATTATTAAATCATTATGTTTACCTGATTTCGAATGTGATTAGTGACTTTTTGAGACATACTAGCAACCGCAGGATGAGGATCATTATCAAGACTACATAATCCATGCCATAATTTCATATACACACTACCATAAGAAAGACTTGGTAAATTTCCAAGAGAACTGTGTCCTAAAAATAATAAAACATAACTTAAAATATTTTGCATTCAATATAGAAAAATATCTGGTTTTTACGAAAATGTGCTTGTAAATAATAAAATAGTGATGTAGTATTAGCTATAAATTAAAAATTATAAAACCTAAAAATGAAGAATGAACTATGTACGAACATGCAATGGAATTTCCAATCATTATTACCAAGTGACTCGCAAGGTTTCCTCACGAACTCCCAATTATTTCCTGGTACACGAATGAAACAATACAAGGAATGTTATCGAAAATCCGGAAATACAGCTAATAATAACTAATTAGAAACAACATACTTTATTACTTACCTAAACTACTAATAGATGACGATGATGACACTCTTTTAATACGATCCTGTCCAAATCCATCTGTATTTTCTGGATTATATGTGTTATTTGGAGAAAGCATTTTTAATCTATCCCTAGAACTAATACGTCTCATTCCACTAAATGGTGATAATGTCTCTACTACTAAATCTTTTCTGCTATTTTCTTCAGCCAATGCTAAAGTTACAAAAGAATTTTCAAAATGTAATACCATCCATTGAAGTGCTACTACTAATTCCTGTAAAAATAATTCATATTTTTTTTTCTTTCATATTAGAAATATAAAATCAATAATTTGTTATATCATTATATAACAAACTTACATACTTTTCTAACTAAGGGACACATATCATAAGATACAGTATTAATAAGAGTCATAGCTATGATTTGATCAATATTATTTGCATGCTCACTTCGTGTTGTTACACTGTTTATAAATGTTCCCAAAGCATAAACGCTAGCTGCTCGGACCTATATAATTATATATTTTCTTAAATATGTTATCATATAATTCATATGTTAAAGATATAATCATATATTAAAGATTTTAATACATTTATAAATATAAAATATAAAATTTATGTATAAAACTTTAATATATTAAATAAATAATTTATACCTCAGGAACTGGATCTTGTAATAATGTAAATAATTTCTCATGGGCAATATCTCTGACTCCACACCATCTTGCTTTGTCATAATTATGCCAAAGTCTTGCAAGACATAAACATAACCATTGTCGTAATAAAGCATTCAAATCTCCAAGTTGTTCTAAACAAATAGAAACAAGACTACCATGATTTGCAGCAATCTGACCTGGTCGATAATCATTCACAATACTAGCCAAAACAAATGCTGCTAATGTTCTGTGTTCACTCTAAAATAAAATAAATTTATAATTTTTTTTTATAACATATATACAATTGAATTCAAAAAGTTTTCAATAAATAAAATTATATCATCAATACTGGTATTGAAGTATCCTGAAGAACAGATAAAAAATATTTATGCCCTCCATCTCGTACCAAATCTGCTTGACAAGTCTGAAATATAATAAATAATTCAAAAAAAATTTAATAAAATATTAATATTTTTGAACTCATAATATTAAAACTTACACTATCAACTGCAAGAATTTTTGCCCAAATAAATACAAGTAATGGACGTAGTTCTTTAGCATTACTCTGAAGTAATTTTAAAACATATGGAAAAATGCCTACACTAAGAGCCAAATTCACTGCCCATGGGCCAAGATCAAGAAAACGTCCTAATAATTCCAATGCTCTAAGTCTATGAACTTGACTTAATAATACTTGTAGAACTATTGGCAGTTGTTCTGGTGGATTACGATTTTTAGAACCTAGTGTAAGCCATACTTGAAAGGCGGTTAATTGCTCTTCAAAAAATGGCGAATGTACAAATTGATCTTCATTCTCAAGAATAGATGGTAATTGTGCTAAGCAAAGATCAAGTGCTAAATCCCATGCTTGCCACATAGGATGCTACATAAACAACAAAAATATATTAATGATAGAATAAAAAAGATTTTATTTGATTTCTAAAAAAATATTAATTATAATTTTTTGTATTGAAAAATATCATTTATAATATTAAAATTAATTTATAATATTAAAATTATTTACCTGATAAGTAGATGGTAATTTTGGACAAGAAACTGGAGTGCAATCATACGAGCGTAATATTCGCTCAGCAAGTAAAAAATTTCTAAATAAACTAGCTACTAATAAATCTTGTCTGAATAATCTCTGAAATAAATCTATAAATTGAACATATTTAATATTTAATTATAATTAATTATTATACAATATTTAATGTTTATATATTATGTATAGATAGAAATAATTATATGATCATTTTAGATATAATTATATAATTTACCTCTTGGCAATGTATTCCATGCTATAGTATCAGTAATTGCTGTAAAAATCCAATTAAGTTCTCCTAACATTGTTCTTCTATCAGTTAATTGTCCTGGAATTCTAAAATTTATTTATTATAATTTTTAATATATAATTTAATAAAAAAAATACATACATACATATATGAATAAATAATTATAAATATATAAAATATTCTTACTTGTCAATTAAATCTAACGATATTTTTGGTACCAATTTAGATGTATTTTGCATTACAAACCTACATAAAAAATAAATATTTATATATTATAAAATACAAAATATATTATTAATAAATCATATTTATCATCTTACCATCGCAATGCAATTTTTATTGGAGTTGTAAGACATGATGTAAATATATCTGCAGGTAAATCTGGATTCATAGGCAAAATCTGACTAGCCGCACATGCTGCCAATTGAATACAATTTTTGTAAGATGGTGTTGAAACACTTGCTACTCCACTTGTACGATTTTGTTGAACTGCTTGTTTTTCCATCTATAAATGGAAGAACTTATATGTAATTTTTATTTTTAATCAACCTTCTTCAAAGTTATCATACCTCATATTCCTTTTCATGTTGTTCTGCAAATTGCTGAAAAGATTCTACAATAATACCTGCATTGGAACAATCATATACATAAATACTAGGTGCACCCATCCACGTTTGTAAATCATATACAGACAAAGGAATATATTGTGTATATGTCTGCAATATAATAATTATAAATTAAATATATTTATTAAATTATTATTTATAATGACTAAAATTTTTTTTAAAACTTTTCTTTTTACTAACCCTATTAAAAACCCATATTTCACCATTACTAGTAGGTTTAGGAACACCATGACCATTGTAATGAAAAAGAACTCTTTCTTCTTTTGCATTTCGTCTTAAAGACGTACATAATTTTTTAACTTCCTCAACAGTAGGATCTAAGCTTTGTTTATAACGAGCTCTTGGTTGCCATCGTTCATACTGTTTTTGTAAATTAGAACCTATAGTTTCTAATGCTTTCTGTGGACTCACTGATAAAGGATCTATAAAATTAAAAAAAATATAATTTTTAAACTATATTTATGTAATTAATAAAAATAATTCAGATGAATTAAATAAAATTTTTCATTAAAATATGCTAAAAAACGATAATGTAAATTTATAATAATATTATAATTTTATAAAGCGATAAGATCATGAAATTATAAAAATATTAATATAAAATAATAAATAATAACGATCAAAATGTTAAATTTAAATAAAAAGAAACATATAACAATATATAATAAATATAAAAATTATTCAAATTAATAATAAATATGTCATCTAGTAATTTACTAAAATGACATTCATTTATAAATTGCTGTCACGCACATGCATAACCTCAAAATGCATTATATAATGGCAGCGGGGAATTGTGGGGATGTAAATAAACTAGAATAAATACCGATCCAACACTCTAAACGTGCACATGGTTGCGTCTTGACAATATCTGGTGGATCAACGCCAACATTTAAACATAAAACTAGAGCCACGCTCACAGTTTTCATCTAAAAAAAAAAATAAAAATTGAGCAAATTATTCTGTAGAATTAAATACATAATTTTTTAAAATATATTAATTAAGAACTAAAAAGAAAAAAAGCAACAAACTCGTTCTTTCATCCTCCATGTTTGTGTAATACAATTTACACCCTCAATTGTTGTACTATGCCGTGATTTACAAAATGCAAGCTGTATTTTCCAATCATCCTCTTCCATCGATTTCAAATTTTCTTCCTCGTGGCATGACTTAGAAGTAATTACTGACATTATAGGTCCAGGACTTGAGAAAAGTTTATAATCAATTTTTTCGAAAGATACGTTTCAATTATTAAAAATCTTAGATTGATATTACATAAATATAGATTAAAACTATGAACTGACAATATTCAATAAACGATAAAAGCATAACCGTTTTTTACCAGAGCACAATTTCATAAGTTTACTTCAATCGACGCCATCTTAAATCCCTAACTTTACCAATGAATTCTCACGAATGCGAAGATTTTTTGATCGTAATAACTATATGCAGATGGTGCCACTTACTATTCACATTATTTTTTTCTTATATATCGAAATCAAAAAAATATAAGAAATAATGAAAAATAACAATTTAATAATAATAATGAAAAAATAACAATAAAATAAATAAAAATAATAATGAAAAATAATAAGCAGTTTTCACAAGAAAACATCTTTATAACATCTTTATAACATCTTTATTAGATACAAGGTCACTTTAAATTAAATCGTTGAAATCTAACTTATTCATTTTTACAACTAATAGAATTAAATAACTTATATTAAACATATTAACAATAATTAATTAAATTTATGCATGAATGTGCAAATAACTTGTATATAAGTAGAAGCATATATACATTCAGAAAAATTACATTACAAAATATATTATTATAATAAAAAATAATATTATTTTCAAATAATATAAAGATATGATAACTATTTTATTTACTAAAATTTTTAAATTGATAATCTATATGCTGACATAATTATATACTTATCAATACTTTTTTTATAGTTTAAATATAAATTCATTATAATCTGAAATAATATACATAACACATTAAAAATAAAAAAATACATATTTGTTTTCACAATATCAGAATTTAAAAAAAAATGAATTGAAAATTAAAATTTCATTTTCACATTTGCAAAACATCACAAAAAACATTTCATTACATATTCTGTTCACAGCCTATATACAATCTTTATTTATTCTATGTACAATTTTAATTTTATTTATAAATTATTTGGAATGAATAAACTCACATTATTAGTGATATAGTATTAATAATTATTTGATATTTAAAAATGCTATAGAATATCATTTTTAAATTCTTCTTGTTTAATTTCTTTTTGTTTCGTTTTTAATTTTTTATGACTTTTAATTTCATTACTTGATTATTATTTTTTTTTTCCATTTTAATCATTGAAGAGTTTGAGAATTAGTAAGAGGTTTATAACCCTGAAATTTTATGAAATATTAATTATTTCAGTACAAATAATATTTAGAACATCTAATTTAAATGGAAATGGTATAGTAGTAATTCAAGCATTTCCATTTAAATCAAATTTATTATATATAAAAATAAAATAAATATTTTATAAATAAATTAAAATATATATATATAAAGAAAAATAAGAAAAAAGTTTATGAAAATAATGATAGTGCAAAAACAGTGTATAGTTTAATGTTTAAAAATAGAGATAACAAATATATAATAATATTTCAATATAATGATGTAATATGAGACATCATTTTAATAAAAAATAAAAAAAAATAAAAAAAAATTCATTCTTATTTATTTTTTATTTTATTAAAATAAAAAATTTTAACGAGATGGATAAATCTTACTTAATAAATCTTAATAAAGATAAGTTCAAATTTTAAATAGAATTTAAATAGATTACATTATATTAAATATAACATATTTGTAATATAATAAAAGTAATATATTTGTCTCTTTTATATTTTTAAATTTTATGTAATTGTAAATTCTATAATTGAGGCTGATATGTAATTTCATTTTTAAAATTAATATATATACTCTATATATGTTATATATAATATATATAATTATATAATGTAATATAATGTAATAATGTAATATATAAATATATGTTATATAATGTAATATGTTATAAATATATTATATATTAAAATATATTATAAATTAATATGTATACTTCAATGCATATACATTATATTTAAATATTGTATATATTTCAACAGATAAAATTTAAAATCATCAAAATCAAAAATTGAAAATATTTTTCTATTATATTAAATACTTTTTTAAGTATAATTGACCGATTCAAAACTTTGTCATTCTTTCGTAAATTCATTTATTTTAAAACTTATTAAATATTAAAGCAAAATAAATCGAATGTTTAAATTAAAATATCAATTGTGAGCGAAAAATCATCTTTAACGAGCATTTAAGTGTGCAAGATTCACTACTTAAATTTGTGAAAAAATTATATAATAATACTCGAATGAACTTTGTCAATATATAATGTTACATATAAGTTTTTTGATTCTATAGATAATAACGATTTACTATTACCAACACATTTGGATCACGCTTGGATCAAGTTTGTTGAAATATAAATTGAATTTTATTAGATCTTTTTAATGTAATAAAAATCAGATATAAAAAATAAAAATTTAATGAAAATTTTATTCATGAAATTTTTTTGATTTTTATCCAAATAACAGGAAATGATAAAAATTGTTCTAATCATTCTATCGAAATATTATCATATGTTATAGTATATGTTAGTACTATTTTATATAACTGAGATTGTCATTGACAATCAAAGATGTATGTAGTTTGTACAATCTATACTTGTTAGTGATTCATGCTGCCATAATAGGGCTGGCGTACACTTATCCGTTTGCTTCCTGGTCTTATGGCGTTATTAATTGAATCTCGTAATCGTTCTGTGAATGTTTTATATTCCATCTCTGGATTATTCTGACCAAAATCAAAATCTGCAACTTCTATAGTAAATTTTGCTCTACTTTGTATATAATATGCAATGCCAAAAATAATGAGTACCACAGCAGCAAGTGAACAAGAAACAGGTACCACTATGACTGATAATTGTGGTTTTGTTGTTACTATAAAATATTTAAAAATGCAATTAAAAAAATTAATATAAATTGTCTATCTTATGATAAAATAAAATTTATATTATTATTATTGTTATTATTAAGATAATAATACATACCTTTATAAATATTTATTGTCAAAGGATAAATTTGTTTGCTGACATCATTATTTAATATGATTAATATTGTGTATATACTTGGTTCCAAAAAATAATGAATAATAGAAAAATTACAAGAATAAAGATTATCTATATTGTTGCATGTTTCATTTCCAGTAATATTATACTTCCCTCTTTGAAACTGAAGGCACTTATTAAAAGGTCCTGAACCTTTGCATGTTACATTAAGAGATAACATATCCCAAGGTTGAATCCAATTAGTACCCTCTACTGTTATATTTCTTATGGGTGCTATAATTTTTATATTGATAATATCATTATAATTTATATTGAATATTGTTATTTTATATATAATTATACATATATAATTATATATTTTATATATATTTTATATATATTTATACTTACCACGAACATCAATCTTTTTTATAAAGTGTCCATATGTTTTATTAGGATCTGGAGGAATTATTGAAGAATTGGAACAAATATATGGTAAAGAAATATTATTTACATCAGACATATTATTTGTTGCATCATTTAATGGCATTTCTGTTACTTCTGTAGATATTAATTTTATAGTTAAATTATTATTAGATATGATAGCATTTGCCACTTCTTCTTTTGTAATATTTGATATTATATTATTTTGCACAGTTTTATTAGAAAGAATAGCTGTCATTGGTGAAATAATTGTAGATGGTAAAACAGATGTTGTTAGCGAATCATATGATGCAATTATTAAAGCTTCTAATATATGCGATATATCAGGATTTGTAAAATTGTAGAGAAAATTTAAATCGTTTGTTTGACCAAAATATTTGCAATCTATGAACCAATAAATTGATACTGTTGTAGCTTTCATCAAATAATCCATATCACCTTTTCTTATATTTATTGTTACATTTGCTTCAGATGCTGAAGAAACATATGTATCTATTGATGTTTTGTTGGATTGTATAATTTTGATATCTCCATTAAGAAATTCTATGAAATTGATAAATATGATAAAGTTGAAGAAACATATAATAAATAAAAAATTAATATAAAATGATTTTAAAAATTCTTACGAGTGACATAAAACTTTGCACGAACACTAGTAAGTTTCTCCCACCATAAAATAACAAATTTACTAACTATCACTTCAACTTCATATATTCCAATTGTATAATTTTCATGTAAAATATTTAAACTCCAATATGTTGTTGTATTTGATGTTTCTCCTGTCTATGAAAAAATTAAAATTATTATTTTCTATTTCATATTTAAATTGTATATTTCTTTATAAATTATATAATATTATATAATATTATATAATATAATATTAAAATATAAAAAATATATTACAATAATGATGAGATTTTAATAAAAAAAATATAATAAATAAAAACATAAAATAAATATTATAATGAATATGATTATTTATTATTAAAACTATGAATAAAAAATTTTTGGATCAAACTGAATTAAACTAACTCAATATTATACATTATAAAAAAAATACATTTCTTTAAAATACATATTTTTCAAAAAAAAATTTTTTTTTTCATTAAAAAAATCTTTTATTAGAGAATTGTAACAAAATATAAAATTATATAATATATAATTTTAATAAAACATAAACTACAGGAAAAAAGAAACTAACCTCATATATATGAGGATTTAATGCATTGTCGCTCCATTTATATTTAAATGTTCCTGATGGTCTATCATCATTCTCAAAGATATCTGCTTTAAATGTAATAGTCCCACCTAATACTACAGGACCATCGTGAGTTAATGTTATATTATATTCTACAGCATTGACTGTAATATAAAATATAATATATTTTAAATTTATCACAAATTAACATAACAATAATAAATGTAATTACAAATTGAATAATTATTATATGAAATGCATATAGTCAAATTACCTTGACAAATAAACAAAATATACCAAATAAAACTCCAAAAAAAATGCACTATCTGCATTCTGTATATCGATAAAAGATCACATTTATTTTTTAAGGTATATACAGTTTGTAAATTTGTTTTTAATTAATTTGCGATTAAATATGTATCATATCATTTCCACCTACAATATCTTAATATTAATGATTGCCAACTGTATCACATTATATATATTTTTTGAATATGTTATATCTACTCATTCATTCAAAGCTAATTTTATAAACAAATCATGGCACAGCAAAACTTACTTTATGAAAATACTATACAAATTATAGTGAGAATAAATTCAACAGTGTCTGAACTCATATCTCCCTAATCAAATAAGTTACTAAAAGTTACCAATTTTAAATTTTCACAATTTTATAAAATATTTATTTTTAACAATATATTATTATGTTAAATCAATTGTATAAATAAATTATGCAATGAAATAATTATATTATTCAGTACAAATATATGTATTTTTGAATACAATAGTGTAGACAATATAGAGCAAATATTTTCTATATTTATACTAATTACTTGATTTTTTTGTAGAATATAATTATTTAATAAGAATCAAAATCAAAGATTTCAAATTTTTATTTTGTATTTTTTATATTATATAATACAATAATCTAATAATAATATTATTATTGTATAGTATACAGTTCATATATATAGTATATTCATATATATTTAAAATAATTTTTTTAATTTTATAATTAATAATACTATAATATTATTATAATATATATTATAATGTATTATTATAATTTAATTTCCTTGTAATCAAGGAAAATTATAATAATACTTTAAAATTGAATAATTATACTTCTGTTTTCTAATTTTCAATAAATGAAGAATTATGAAAAAAATATAGAGTTATTACTTCATAAAAAAATTTACTATTTTAAAATTTACTATTTTACTATTTTACTATTTTAAAATATTAAAATTATTTTGCTAAAAAATATTCAACTTTGTAATTTATTAAAAATAATATTATTAAATACACGAAAATCAGTTCTAATGGCATAATTATTTTACTTGCATATAAAAATTATAAAAAATACTATATCTATATAACTAAAAAATACTAGTATCTTTCTTTGTAATTTCATCCTATTTATTTTGTTGTATATTATTTTTATATTACACCATAAAACATTTGATTTTTTTTTTTTTTAATTTTTTTGAATATTAAAATTATTCTTTAGTTTTATCATTAAATTTAATATATATTTATGATATTTTATATATTTAGCTATATATATATTGGCTATTCATAAGTCAATCAATTTTTTTCTTTACAAAAATTTTTATTTCAATTTTAATAAATTATTAACAAAAAAAATTTGCAGTTAAATATATTTTATTATGATGGTATTACTATGTACTAGTAACGAATTGCCAGACTTGATTAAATAGAAATGTTTTGAGTTCGAAAAAGATTTGTGGACTATTGTGACATCTACCTGATATGATAAGTTTATTCGTTCTTTGATTGGTCAATGATCTTTTATTTCAAACAATAATAATTCAACAAAACAAAAATTTTAGAAAAGTAAAAAAGTTGCTTGAAATCATTTCAACAATCATTTCAATAATTAATCTTTCTCAGTTAACTTTTAGAATCCTGATATAATCTTTTTCTAATTTACATTTTAATATCAAATGTTTTCTGTTGTTATTTATTCGAAATAAGAATACAAAAAAATAATATATATAAGATAATTTAGAAAAGTTATCTAAAATTATTTTATAATTTAAAATAATTAAAATATTTTTTAATGTATTTATGTGTATATATTTGTCAATTGTAAATATGATATTTAGTAGAATGCACTTGAAAATTTTAATTAATATTTATAATAATAAATTTATTTTAAAATATAATACAACATCGAAGATTTTAAAATTGTTTCTTACACAAAATCTACGTGATATTTCTACATTTTATGAAAATAATGTTTTTGAAGAACAATTAAAAGAAGTTTTTAAATTTAAAAATAGTAATGTTAGTAATTGGATTATTGAGGTTAGTTATTATTAAGAAATATTAAAAATTCAAAAAACAAATTATTTTTTATCTTTAATTTTTAATATTTCTTAAAAATAAATTAAGGAAATTTTCATTTTCATATAAAAAATTATATTTTAAATCTTTCAGATATATTAAATTATGTATTTTTTTCTATTTTCTTAAATTTAATATTATTTAATTATAAAATTAATGATTTATATAAAACTAAAATATAAATTATGTTTTATATTTAGTTTCTAATTGACATTGATACGTACATAGTAGATTTATAATATATATTAAATATGTATTTATAATTTTAAAAATATTTTTATTTTTATTGTTTAATATAATATATTATTTAGTTCTTTATATTAATTTCTTAGTTAAATTAAATATATGATTAATTGTTAAATATGCAAATTAAATTAAATTAAAAAAGTAAAAAATGATTAAAATATATCTGTTAAAATTATTATTTATATTATTTGATAATAATATTTGATATATTTTATTTTAATAAAAATAAATTTAATAAATTAAAAGAAATTAAATGAAATGTTCATTTTGTATTTATAAATATACAAATATAAATACAATAATTAAAATAATATAAACTATAAATAATAAAAATATCAATATGTAAATATATTAATTAATAACTTCAATTGCAATGAAGTTTGTGTATAATAGAATTAAAATTTTATTTTAGAATAAAGCTCGTATTTTATGTAATGCATATCAAGAAAGTAACAAAAAAGATAAGGAACAAATTCTACGTATTTTAGCATTTAGATATGCTATTGAACATACTGTTGTATGTAATATAGCAGAAAAATATGTATCTACAGAGGTTTGTAAATTATTAATTTTTTATTCATATTTATAATACATAAAATAAATTAAAAAATACTTTGTTGTTTATAATATCAAATTCTTAATAATTATTATAAAATTATTAAAAATTTAACAACACAATATATATTTTATCTTAGTCTGATAATAGAAGACGTATGATTTCTTATGAACGAAATTTAAGAAATGTTTTAACACCAGATTATCAATGGTTGTTTATTATGATTGGAAGACTTGAAAATGGTGTGAAATTTCTTGTCGATTTAAGAACAGATATATTAGTAAGTAATTTTAATATTATTATTAATTTAATTGTGATCATGAATTAATAAAAATATATATTAAAAAAATTAAAGTTTAAATATTTAAATATATAATATTAATAAATATTTAAATATTTAAAGAATTTTTTGTATATTTAATCAATAATTTATGTAATTTTTTAATATATAAATTTTATATTAATATAAAAATTTTTTTAAAAAAAATTAAATATATTTTAT